AGAAATATTTACTGAGCATCTACTGTGTGCCAGGGGGTTGTAGCAGTAAATAGGATGGATGGGGTCACTACTCTGCTGAAGCTCATGGTTTAAATCTCCACTGACACAAGTAAATCAGGGGACTAAGTTAATCAACAGTAGACAAGCCATGACAATGCAAGTGGTGGGTACTACCAGGAGTTTGAAGGAACTGAAACAATTACAGTCATAGGAAATATCAGAGAACACTTACCAGTGATCTCTAATTGAGTAAAAGAATTTATTTCTTGAATTTACAACCATCTGTAATTATTATGTATCTGTTGAAAAAGCATATTCTGGGGCATCTGGAAACATGCCCATGGAAGAACTCCATATCCCTCTCTGATTCTCTGATTGTAATTTAGTAATGTATTTTGCTATAGAAATGACATAAAAAATACATTTTTATTCTAGTTTGGCATAGCAGCATGTAAGTCTTTCCCACTGATGACAACTAAAAACTAGACAAAATGCAAAAGCGACTATCTGAGGACACTGAAAAAACAAAAGCAGGTGGATTATGGAAAATCCACGTACACAGAGGAATGAGGTGAAATAAAATCATCCTCAGATGAAGAAAAATTAAGAGAAGTTATTGTCAGAGAACTATTCTACAAGAAATGCTAAAGGAAGTTCCTCATATTGAAGGGAAATGATACCAGAAGGAAACTTGAATCTCTGGGAATGAAGGAAGAGCAACAAATGGTAAATATCTAGATAAATATAAAAAACTTTTTCCTCTCCTATATTCTTTAAAATATATTGAAATATATTTTTCACTGAAAACAAAAATTATAACATTGTTTGGGGAGGGTTTTGATGTATCTAAATGCAACCCATATGACAACTATAACAAAGGTTGGGGGTTAAAAGACCCATATGTTTACCATGCTTCTACATTTTACATGATGAATTTACAATTCTTCTAAGCAGACGATGAAAAATTAGTTATGTATATTGTAACTCCTAGAGTAACTAACAAAAACAAAAAGAAAACCCAAAAAGATGTAATAGCCAAAAATCCAATAGATAAATTGGATATTCAAATAATCCAAAAGAAGGTAGGAAAGGGAAAACATATAAATAAAAAGAAGAGCAAACAGAAAACAAAGTGGTAGACCTAAATCCCACCATAGGGATAATTACATTAATTAAATATTACAGACCGAGTGAATTTTAAAAAAGGACTATTTGCTGCCTATAAGAGACAAACTAAATATAAATTTAGGTAATTCCAAAGTAAATGAATGGGGGAAAAAGTGCCATGCAAATAGGCATAACAGGTCTATCAACTAAAATTGACTTCAAGACTAAGAGCATTATCAAAGATAAAAAGACATTCATAATGAGTAAAGGAATATCAAGAAGATATAATTTTAAATGTTTAAAAAAAATCAATTACAGGGGTGCCTGGATGGCTCAGTACCAACTCTTGTTTTCAGCTCAGGTCATGATCTCAGGGTCATGAGACTGAGCCCCGCATGGAGCTCTGAGCTCAGCATAGAGTCTGCTTGAGATTCTTTCCCTCTCCCTCCACCCTCCACCCTCAAACAGCCCCACTCTCTAAAATAAAACCTTTTAAAAATAATAATCTGGGGGTGCCTGGGTGGCTCAGTCACTAAGCGTCTGCCTTCAGCTCAGGTCATGATCCCAGGGTCCTGGGATCAAACCACGCATCGGGTTCCCTGCTTGGTGGGAAGCCTGCTTCTCCCTCTCCAACTCCCCCTGCTTGTGTTCCTGCTCTCGCTATCTCTCTGTCAAATAAATAAACACAAATCTTTTAAAAAATAAATAAATAAAAATAATAATCTGAAAGATACAGATTCCTGAGTGGAGGGGACACCAAACTAAGATTAGCTTTCTGATGTTCATGGTCATCAGAATTAGGGAGTTGATGAATGGGCTTTAGAGAGCTCTATAAAAACTCAAGTGTATGTGAATTTTTGTAGAAGTATACATTTGGGGAACGGGAGAAGGAACTTTTATGGTATGGTATATGGATATAAAGAAGTCCATACTCCCTAAACTTAAGAACCTCTTTACAATGATTCATTCAACTGATGGTCATTAGATTTCTTATGTCCAATGTGGAGATATTGAGCAGGACACTGGTTGTCCTTGCCTTCAAGACTAATGGAGGAGATAAACATTAAACAAAAAAATGACCCGAGTTTACAGATTTTAAAATTACAATGGTAATGTTACAATGGAGTGGTACAAGAGAATCCAGCCTAGTCAGAATTCCCTGAAGGTCAGTTAGGGGATAAAGGGTCAAAGAAAGTGGAAGAGGGAGATTCCAGGCAATATTTGTAAAGGACTAGTCTGGCTTGTCAAGGAACTGAGAGGCAGCTGGCAAGTTTGGAGCTTAATGAGAAGACAACCACAGGAAGCTAGAGGCAGACGGGGGTCACATCATATAGGGCCTTATAGGCCATTTAAGGATCTGGTCTACATCCCAGAGCAACTTAAACAGCTGATGGGTTTTAAGTGGATGCTGAGGCTGTTTGACTTAGCACCAATTTAAGAGCAGAAGTTCTTTGCTCCCTGACCCAGGAGGAGATATAGGCCAGGGGCCGCCATGCTTCAGAATCTGGATCACCCACTTCACAACTAGGTGCCCTGGGGCAAGTTCCCCTCACCTCCCAAGTTTAATAGGTGAGAAAGGCTATCCCCTTGCTTCTATGCCTCCTAATATATCTTTTCCTATGTATTCTTTTCGTGTTAACTTCTTGCATATACACTTCACCTTTTTTGGTTGGGTTGACCTTTTTTCTGAATCATTTTTGAGTCTATGCCTATTTTAGACAAGAAAACTAACATACCACCATAATTCCTCATTGATTTTTTCAGTCTCTATGACTGACAGAGTACTGTGGTCAGCAGGTAAGTCTCAAAGAAAACAGGAGTTTAGAGAGAAAAAAAAAAAGTCAATGATTTTAAATACACAAAAATATCAAATTGTCAAAATGTTTGAAGTTTGAGAAAACTGCTTAAGGGTATGGGGAGAAAGATACTTTCATATACCATGGACTTGAATATAACCATGTGATCTTTTGGGAGGCTGGTTTGTCAGGTATCAGGATTGAAAACATATATACCCTTTGACCTGATTATTTCAATGCTAGAAATTTACCCCAGTAAATTACTTGCAAAAGCATGTACACATATAGAAAAATGTTTGCGGAAGCACCGTTTATAATAGCAAACAACCAGAAGTAATCTAATCACAGTAGGGTACTAGACTGGTTAATTATGGAACATCCAGAAAATTACAGAACAAAATATTTGTTCAAAATGACGACATGAATTGTAGGGGCCCTGTTAACTAAAGATACACTGCAAAAGGGCACATTACTTGGGGGAAAACTGCATCACAACGTATGCTAGAGCGTATAAGGAAGACTGTAATTTTTAAAGAGAAAATATGTAGATATATGTCAGCTGTATGCTGATGTGGATATTCATATTTGTGTCTTCTTTCAAACTGCTGCTGAAGAACCAGGAAGGTGAAGGTGGAAGGCACTTCTTCCTGTGCTGTGTGCCTTGCCTAACCACGGGCATGTGTTGCTTCTCGCATTTAAAGTCAACAGGGTAGGGGACTCCTGGGTGGCTCAGTTGGTCAAGCGTCTGCCTTCAGCTCAGGTCATGATCCCAGGGTCCTGGGATCAAGCCCCGCATCGGGCTCCTTGCTCGGTGGCGAGCCTGCTTCTCCCTCTGCCTGCAGCTCCCCCTGCTTGTGCTCTCCCTCCCTGACAAATAAATAAAACCTTAAAAAAAAACCAATAAAGTCAACAGGGTAGGGGGCACCTGGCTGGCTCAGTAGGTAGAACATGCGACTCTTGATCTCAGGGTTGTGAGTTCAAGCCCCATGCTGGGCCTGGAGCCTACTTAAAAAAAAAATTTGTTAAAAACAAAATAAAAAAGTTGGTGGGGTAGTTGTTTTCTTTATGTAACTTTTGTTTTACAGATTTAAAAACTGAATTTTAAAACCCTGAAGTTAGAAAATAATTACTCTCTACCATTCCCCCATAGAGATTGCACATAGCAACATTTCCAACAGTGTCTCCGGAGAAGGAACTGCAGTGAGAGGTGGGGGAAAGAGCCAGCCTTGCTTAATTAGCACCTGCCAGGCCCAACCACGATCCTTCTCCGGCACAAACCAGGTCAGTGATGGAAACCTTCAAATACTTCCTTTCCTTTCTTTTTGGTACATCAAAGGGTGTGAAAGTACAGTTGACGCTCGAGCAACAGGGCTTTCCACTGCCTGGGTCCACTTACGTGTGGACTTTTCTCAGTACAGGACTGTAAATGTATTTTCTCTTCCTTATAATTTCCTTAATGACATTTTCTTTTCTCTAGCTTACTTCATTGTAAGAATATAGCGTATGATACATATAACACACAAAATGTGTTATTTGTTATCAGTAAGGCTTCCAGTCAACAGTAGGCTATCTGCAGTTAAGTTTTGGGGGAATGAAAAGTTATACACGGATATTCGACTGCACAGGGCGGTCGGTGCCCCTAATGCCCACGCTGTTCAAGGATCAACTCTAATCTCCCCCACCCACCCTTCTGCCTTTTGGGTGCAGATTCTATATGGATCACAAGTCAGAACAGTGAAAGGTATAGCCTAGTTCTAAGTCACTGTTAACAACACCAAGGGGGAAGGTTTCCCACTGGTTTCACTCTCAGGTGAAAAAGGACCACTTGTGAAAAGCAAAGGTACTTTTTGGGCCAAAAGGAGTTGGCCTAAAACTTTTTGATTTTTTTTTTCAAACCTTCAAGATGGAACAGTCACTCCTGCTGTAGTTTGATGGCACACATGTCCAAGCGTGGATCCTCTAAATGGTCCCTGAATCAAGTCCCAATCATCACTGCTGGTCAGGGAAAGGGGCTACTCACCCTTCAAGGTAGTCCCTTGACTTCCCACATTTATGAAGCCCCATACCCCCAAAACGGCAAAATATCTGGAGACCTGGTTCAGCCACACAATGTTTTTATTTTAATTCAACTATAAGCAAACAGCAGAATTAACACAACATTCCGCAACTCCAGATCGGCTTTTCTACAGACGAAGAGTGACCAGTTCAACTGGCACAGACTTAGGGATTTCTGACTACCCCTCACCCAGCCCTGCAGCTCATCTAGATGGCCGTGTCTTAACTGCAAAGCCACTCTCCCTATTGCTTTTTCCAGTACTGCTCTTCAAAGGAGCCAGAGCAGGACACTGATCCCTAGTAAACAGTCCGAAATGTACCATGTTGGGAGTTAACGGACACGCCAACCTCTGGCTCTCTTGGTGAGAGACAGGGTCATGAAAACATGACCCAGAAGTGCCCTCATGCACAATTCCGGACTCAGGCTCACAAAGGCAGAGGCAATCTTTTTTTTTTTTTTTTAAATCTCCCTTAAAGATTCTTTGACGCTCTGCTCTATTACTATAGACCTGGTCTTTTTACCTGAATTTTTATTTCTTTAAATTCTGGGTTGCTATTCTTATATTAACAATTTGATGACCCCAACACAGTACCAGAACATCCCCCGAAATGGAGTTCAAATTTGATCAAAACATAAACGGGGGTGTGACCCTCTAGAATTATAAAGGATAGGCAGAAGGAAAAGTCACTCTAAACCACTATCTGATTGCTCAGGCCTCACCTGTGAGAATGGGAATGGGGAAGCGGAGAAATCTACATGCATCACTGAACTTGAGAACACTGGGAGAGACTTCCGGGACAGTTTCTGTCTCCTAGCATTCCCCTACTTCCCAGACAGCTGCTCATAGAGTTTGGGAACATAGTCATCCCATTCTGCCTGGTAACACGTGCCGGCCACCGGGGGCCCAAGCTCGTACTTTTTGCGGAAAGATGCCACTTTGAATTTGCCGCGGTGGTCTCCAGATCGGTTGCTGAGGATGGGCTCGTCACACTTCAGTGGCCCATTCTGCTCGTAAACCAGCCAGACATAGCGGTGAAGGCCTGGAGGGAGAAGCAGGACGTAAGATGTACACACAGCTAGGCAACAGGGCTGGAGACGCCCCCATGTTCACAGGATAGTGCCAACTTGGAGGGACCCAGCCACCCCATTTACAAGAGGGGCACTGAGGACCTGCAGAGGTGGAAGGAGTCAGATCACTCGCCTGCTGACAATCTCCCAATGGCTTCCCACTGCAACTGGTGTGAAGTCCACACCCAGCTTTACGGCCTCTAAGGCCCTTGCCCACCCCTCCTATCACCTCTGCCCCTCACTCATCCTGCTCCGGGCTTCCAGCCCATCTCCCCTGGGACCTGACTGCTAGTCATTTTCCACCATCTGCATCTGAACACCCCTTTCACTTGTGTGACGGTAACACTTCTCTGAAAGTCTGCCTTTTCAGTTTAGTCTCCTCACTAGAAACAGAACGCCATAAAGCAATGGTGTTTGTCTCGTTGACCGTTTTCGCCCCAGAACCTACCCTACTAGTGCCTGGTAAAACTCACTCTAACCAAGTAAGTAGCAAAGATACTGAAAAACATCTTGTTTTCAAAGGTGCTTACGTGGTCACCTTCATCTGTCAGTCAATATCCATGGACGAAAACAACTATGATTTAGGCATTTTATTATATGCAAATTATACTAAAAGAGTATTTTTTAAAAAGCAAAAGGGGGAAAAAAAAAGTCACTGAGACTTTTTTTGTTAATGAGAACATAACTCCTACTTGAGAGAATTGCTTTATTCTCATGTGTGTACTTCCCATAATTAAACTGCCTAATTGTATAACTGACCTAGAGAACTTAACAAATCCCTGGGAAAGATGTACCTTTACCTTCCTCTTATGAACTCACGAGAGGGCCTGAGGCCATCTGAAGCTTTGGGGTCTACAGATAAAGCATGAGTCTATGGCCAACTGTTCTCGTCAGGGACCTTCCTATACCTCCTCAGAACTAACAGGGCCCGACAATGTGTCCACCCACCCCTACTTCTTTGTTCCCACAAACGAAAGCATCCTGTAATGCACAGCAAGCATTAACAGTACATCTCCCACTATTAGCTTCATCCCACTTGGAGAGTTTCAATACAGTTTCTCTCCCTCTTTGTATGCAGAGCATGTGATACACAACACAATACAACATAGGTATCTTCAGTATACTTCTTAAAGCCTTCCAAATCTTTTCAAGATGATACCACCCTAGATTTTCGACAGAAAGGAGCTATAAAGAGATAAAGAAGCCAATTTTTTATAATTAATTAGGATACCATGATCATTTCTGAGCTCTTTCATGGGAACTGGAAACTCAAAGATCCCACAGGGCAAAGGCTGAATGTAGAACTGAGATGGGTTAACTGTGTTCAACCCCCACCCCCACCCCCGGAAGCTGTTCCAAGCTTTCTGCAACACTGCTTCCTTAGAACCCTCTCACCAACTGCCCCGCAGATAAAGGCCTAGTGGCAGAGAGGCAAAGCTAACAGTGGGTCCTCCTGACCAGAACCCAAGGTTCCAGCCACCTGACGCTACTGCAGGTCTCAAGGTCTCTGGCAGGCAACTGCCTTGGAGGTGAACTGCGCTGCCAGGAAGCTCCACTAGACTAAGGGATCTCGGAGAACCCAGACTAAAATTTGCAGCCCTCTGGGCCAATCCTAGTGTGCACCCACTGTCCCCAACAAAGCAGTCTTTACTGACCTGTGCCCTTGGGAGGCCCAGAGCCAACATAATCGGAGAGGACTGTGCCACTGCTGATGTTGTTGCCCTTCATGTTGACCACCAGAAAATGGTGCCACTCCCTAAGACGAGGAACACAGAACGGTCAGCACCACAGGAAGTAGGTACACACTCACTGCACAGCCAGCAAATGTGCATGAAGCACATGCTCTGGACCAGGCTGCAGCGATGAAGGAGACAGACAGTCCTGCTTTCTTGGCCAGCACAAACCTCACCTGTCTGCAGAAGAGAGGGCCCGGTACCTCCCTCCCACCCTCTGACATCCTCTCGGCAGTACCTGCAAACTTTTTGGTAACAGGCCAAGCAGTAAACGTTTTGGGCTTTGCAGTTCACACGGTCTCTGTCACTATTCAACTCTGCGGTTACAGTGTGAAAGCAGCCAGAGACAAGACCTAAGTAAGTTCTCATGGCTGTGTCCCAACAAAACTTCATTTATGAAGTTAATTTGAATGTCATGTAATTTTCCCATGTTACAAAGTATGATGATTTCAATTTCAGTCATTTAAAAATGTAAAAACCATTCTTAGCTCATAGGGTCATACAAAAAGAGGTGTCAGTCAGATGTGGCTCTCGGTTATCGTTTCTAGACTCCTGCTCTAGGGACTGAAGGGGTAGGAAATGCACACTCTGGCTTAAGCATGCGTGTGAACATCCCAAACTGGGTCTCCTTCTCCTGGCACAGCATGTCCACAGCAAGAGGCTTACACAGTGCCAGAAGCACCAGGTCCTTTCTGGATGACCTAGTGTTCCTAATCTGGCCTCAACTTGCCTGTACTTGGGGTCCTTCCTGCTGGGAGCATCCGGATCTGTCAGGACCAAGGTGTAGAGTTTACCTGGATCAAGGCCATCCCACCCAATACTGGTGGGCCGGTTCTTAACCTGTAGGAAGCAACCACTTTGTAGTTAAAAAGTCAGAAATGCTGAAGAAGCCAACACTCTTTGATTCCAGGTTCCTCAAAGGTAAAACACAGTAGATTATTAATAAAAGCTAAAATGTATTGACTCCACTAAGAGCCAGGCGCTTAAGTTTAATATACATTATTTATTTTAGTCCCAACAACACTCCAGGACTCCTGTCCTAGCATGTTATTAACAGAAAGAGGTGGGGTCAGGATTTCAACCCTGGAGCTGACCGAGTGCTCTCAACTACAACCTCATATGGTCTGGAATGACAGTCTCTAGATTTGGTGACCAGCAGCTTAGCTGGGCCCTGCTAAAGTGAAATCTGAATTAACTGGATACTTTAAAAAGTGCACAGAAAATGGCCAGACTGGACAGTGAGTCTGGGAAAACGGAGGCTGCCATAGGGGCGCTTTATATTTAAACATCCACAACAATAAACCGTCAGAGCAATGTATTCACACCATTCCCCCGGAGCTTTACGACCAACAACAGGCAAGTGTCGCGCACTCTAGTTCCCGCACTTCCGGTAGCCAGGCCCTGATCTGCTCGCAGGCCAAACGATAGAACAAGGCCGTTGCCCTCGAGCCTTCCAGCTGCAGAACGCGCTTACCTTTGGGTGGCTTCATGCTCTTGCCCGCTAAGACAAAAGGAGGAATCGCTGGGCGATGCTGGTCACCGGTTACATAATGCGTCACATGCCCTCGGGTGGGGCTTTTGCTCCCCAAACTGAGGCCCCAAATCCTGAGACCCGAGGGGAGGTCTGGGGCCGAAGGGGTGGCCACGGCCCACTACTTCTCGGCACCGCCCCCTCCCGCCCCCGCCCCCGTGCCCGCGGCCCAGGGTGTTTCCAGGCCTAGGCCCCGGTCTACGCCTTGAAGTCCCTGGAAACTAGATCACTTTCTCCTGCACGTGCCGGGTTCCCGGTGCCCGCAGGTGTCCGCAGGCCTGCGGCGTGGGCACCGCGACCCCTTTCCCTCCGAGCACCCGGCGCACAGAGGCCGGAACACCCTCCCCATCTCCGTCGGGTCCCGCCCGCCGGCCTCCACGCCTAGAACAGGTGCACCCCCAACGCTCTCGGGTACCTGGGTGGGTGTCAGCACTTTGCCCAGCTCGTCGACCTCTGTCCCGGCGTATTTGACCTGCAGCGCATGCTGCGGCCGCTCGTCCACTTCCTGCAGGCTCAAAGGCCCGGACCACTTGCCGAGGTCCACCGGCATTGCGGAGCCGAGCTGCGCAGACAAGGGGGGAAGAATCTCTGCAGCCTGAGATGAGTCCCGCAGCTCCGACTCCCAGCAGTCCGCAAACTGGCCGGAGGAGGCGCGGGACCAGCGACCGGGGAAGCGCACGCGCCGGAGCCACAGCCCCGCCTCGCCCCGATTCTCCAATCACAGGCGAGGCCCGGCCCACTCTGCCCTCTAATTGGTCAAAGCCCGTAGCGTGGGGCGTCTCGCGCTCCCAGGTCAATGCAGTAGGTTTTGCCTTTCTTTTGCATCGAGGGTGCTTGCTCTCTGCCCCGGTAGGCGTGTTCCGGGGAACTTTGGCTCGGTTTACAAGATCATTGTATCAAGAATTGCAGTTAAGCTAGCTTTGAGTTATTTTTTTTACCATTTTGCGTGATTCTTTACTTTCTAAGTCAGAAATGGTAAGGCCTTGCCTTTCGCCCCATTTCTTACAGCAAGCCTGATTGCCGTGCCCTACTTGTATTTTCGCGCATGCTCACTGTTTTGGTAACTGCTGCGTGAGAGGACATGCGGTGGAACTTCTGAGCATGTTTCTCAACAGACAAATATATTTGCACATATATTTGATCCCCCTGGCCCCACTTAGTGCAAACAAGATTCCAGGGAAGTGATTTTTTTTTTTATTAAATTTTTAAGCCATAATTATTATTCCTGTTTTGCTGACAAGGGGCTCTGCCCCTACTAAAACTGCTCTCACGGTGGCCACCAAATGCTTTCTTTTTACTAAATATAATGGGTACTATTTAATAGTCCTTGCCCTGTTTGACCTTAGGACAGTCATTGACATTGAAAACCGCCCCTGCCCAGGGAATAAAAAATCCTGTTGTTTTCTTAGGGGTAAAACAAGTTCATTGTAGAAAATTAAGAGGAAAAAAACCTAAAAGAAGTAAATAATCATCTCTATTCCACTACTTGGATAGAAACATCGATAACAATTTCGTTCTGTTTATTCACTTTAAAAATTGCATTAAACTCTACCATTATAGGGGAGCCTGGGAGGCTCAGTTGGTTAAGCCTTGGACTCTTGGTTTCAGCTGAGGTTATGGTCTAAGGGTCTTGAGATCAAGCCTGCTGTGAGGCTGGTGCTGGGTGTGGAGCCTGCTTAAGATTCTTTCTCCCTCTGCACCCCCCCCCCCCTTTATCTTTCTCCCTCTCTAAAAAACAAAGTCTACCATTATAGAATATCTATATCAAAAATAGATCATTATAATAACAACAAAAACCTTTTAAAAAAATAGATCATTATTGGGGCGCCTGGGTGGCTCAGTTGGTTAAGCGTCTGCCTTCAGCTCAGGTCATGATCCCAGGATCCTAGGATGGAGCCCCACATCCAACTCCCTGCTCAGTGGGGAGCCTGCTTCTCCCTCTCCCTCTGTCGCTCCCCCTGCTTGTACTCTCTTGTTCTGTCAAATAAATAAACAAAATATTTTTTTAAAAATAGATCATTATTTTAATGGCTTCTTCTGTTCTAGATGCACCACAATTTATTCAACAATCCTATTGATGTTGGACATTTACACTTTTTGTTGGTTTTTTCCTATTTACAAATAGGAAAATGAACATCTTTATATGCATATATTAAAACACTTGGTAGATAGTTTCAGGAAAATTTTATTAGGGAAATGCTAGGCCAAAGAGTACTCCAATGAGGATGGCTGCCTTTTATTGGCCATCACCACTGCCACGTGCCAGGCCCTGACCCAAGGAGTGCCTTGAAACTTCACGTCTCATTTCATCCTCATACCAACCCACAGTGGGAGACACTGCTGTTACCCCATTCCATAGATAAATAAACAGGCTTGGGAAGGTGTAAGTGACAAAACCAGGCAGGCTACAAAGGCTAGATGCAAAGCCCTTAGGCACACTCTAGCTGGGAGTGCAGGGGGGGATAGAGGTGAGGCAGTCATGACCTGGCATCCAGAAAGCTTCCTCTAGGAAAGGTGTCACCACGAAGACCCCACTTGGCAACCGTGAGAATGTGCCTCTTAGCTCTGAATGCTGGGAGAGAATTTGGCCAGGGTCCCACCTGCTGTGCTCTGCTTTTAGGCCAAGACCTTTCTCTGGCAGGCTCCCCACCCCCACCCCCGGGAATGACTGAGCTCTGCAGAGATACTAAGGCAGAGCAGGGAGACTGGGGCCCCTCTGTAGTCAGGACAGGCTTGCCTGCTTTCCTTTGAAACTGCACTTTGGGTAGATGCTTCCTTCCCTGTCACCTGCCCTGAGGGTCAGATGGCTCTCCCAGTCTTTCTTCACTCCCTCTCACTTATTTGCACAGCCCTTTCCCCTAATAAATTCCTTGCACAACTTCTCAGATGACAAGAGTGACGCTCCCAAGTTTAATAGTATGAGGACAAGCTGAAGTGGAAGCGAGCTTGGGGTGTTGGAACAGTGGGCAGACGGGTTTTGCTGGAATGGGACATTTAGGTAGGGGCAGATGGATGGCATAGCAATAAGGCTGAATAAGGCTAAAGAGACAGGAAAGGGAATAACCTTCTATTTTTTTAACCTATAAAAAGTTTAAAATTTTCTTCAATATACAAATAATCAGTCACATAGCATAATCTAAGGGCATGGGTATGGGAAACAGAATGAGTTCGTATTCCAAATCCCTCACCCAGTACCTATGAAACCTTCTGGGTGAGAGGCAGAATGGCCTCTCAAAGCTGTCCACATGCTAACCCCCAAGTCGGCAAATATTGCATGGCATAGGGGAATTATGGTTGCAGATGGAATTAAGGTTGCTAATCAGATGCCCTTAAAATTGGGAGATTATCCTGGATTATCTGGGTGGGTCCAAGATAATTTCAAAGGTCCTTAAATGGGAGGAGGAAGGCAGGATTGTCAAAACCGGAGTGATGCCATGTGAGAAAGACTACCAGCCATTGCTGGCTTTGAAGATGGAGGAAGGAGCCATGAGTCAAGGAGTGCAGGTGGCTCTAGAAGCTAGAGAAAGCAAGGAAAAAGATTCTCCCCTAGAGCCTCCAGAATGAACATAGCTGTGCTGACACCTTGATTTTAGCTCAGTGAGACTTCAGACTTCTACTGTCTAGAACTGTAAGATAATAAATCTGTGTTTCAGGGGCACCTGGGTGGCTCAGTCGGTTAAGCATCTGCCTTTGGCTCAGGTCATGGTCCCGGGGTCCTGGGATCAAACCCTGAGTTGGGCTCCCTGCTCAGCAGGGAGTCTGCTTCTCCCTCGCCCTCTGCCCCTCCCCCAGCCCATGCTCTCTCTCAAATAAATAAAATCTTTAAAAAATAATAAAATAAATAAATCTGTGTTGTCGTAAACCACTGAGTCTGTGGTCACTTGTTATAGCAGCCACAGGAAACTCATACAGCATATGACTTATCCTCATTAAGCCTCAGTTTTCCCTCTCTAAACTGGGTTTACCAACGTCCCAGAAATGATCATTGTGAGGATCAAATGAAACTCATATGATGTGCTTCACATACAGCCTGGCATGTCCAAGTAGGAAGCTATTACTTTATTACATGTTCATTATATAAAACTCATAAACAAGCAAACATAAAATTAATTAAGTGAAGTCCATAGTAATCCTACCACCCAAGGCCACAGATATCTTGCTGCATTTCCTTCCAGACTTCTTGCTTTGCTTTTCTTTTCTTTTTTTTAAGAGAGGGAGAGCAGGGGAGACAATCTCAAGTAGGCTCCATGCCCAGTGCAGAGCCCAATGACGCAGGCCTCAATCCTACAACCCTGAGATCACCACCCAAGCCAAAATCAGGAGTCAGACACCTAACCAACTGAGCCACCCAGGCACCCCCTTCCAGACTTCTTTCTATGTATATAAATATGAATGTGCATATATGAAAGTATGATTTCAATATGACATACATACTATTGTGTAATTTGCCTCTGTTTGCTTTCTCCAATCATGTCTATAAATAAATACAGCAACATTTTTTTAAAGATTTTATTTATTTATTTTAAAGAGAGAGAAAGCTTGAGCAAGGGGAGGAGCAGAGGGAGAGAGAGAGGGAGAGAATCTCCAGCAGACTCCGAACTGAGTGTTGAGTGCAGAGCCCAAGAGTGGGGCTCGATCCCAGGACCCTGAGATCATGACCTGAGCAGAAACCAAGAGTCGGACCCTTAACTGACTGAGCCACCCAGGTGTCCCAAAAGAGCAACATTTTAATAGTTGCAGAGGATTCTGTTGTATGGATTGTCCCTTATTTATAAACACAAACCCCCCCTTTGGGGAACATGTAAGGTGTTCTCACTATTATGCTCTAGAAATATCTCTGCAATACTTATCCTTTTGCACACAGCTTCAAGGTACTTATTTGGTTGGTTGTTTTCTCTTGAGGATAAAATCCTAAAAGTGGGTCAAAGAACATTTACATTTTAAGTTTGAGGTACCACGTTCCAAACTGGGTAGGGCCTCTGTGACTGGTTGATTTTTAAGTGAAAAGGGAACCTAGTGATCAACCAGTTTACCCTGTCATTTATTTCAAATGTTTCGATCTCCACAAAGTTTCATTTTCATGTTTTTGACAATATATGTAGAGTATATGATCTACATAAGAATACATACGTAATTCTGCATTGTCTCTCACTTAATCTTTTATTTTGAACATTTTCTGTTGTTAAATACATTTCAAAAAGTGTTTTTTGGTTTTTTTTTTAATGGCTGTCCAAGACCACAATGTCATGAATTATTTAATCATACATTTGTTATTAGACGTTGAGGCTGTTTCTCATTTTCCCCCTCATTTGATAGCTGGGGAAAGTGAAGCACAAGAAATTCAGAAATTTCAGGGCCTTGTCAAAAAGGCCAACATCCAGCTGAGAAGAGAACCATCTGGTCTGGGGTGAGTGATCTCCAGAGTCCGGAGCAGGTCTGGGCAGAGAGGCAGGCACCCGGGTGAGAGCTTCTGCCAGCCAGAGCTGGGGAGCCAAGTGCTCCTGCAAATGACTACAGAAAGCCTCGTTTTCACCCAGAAACTGAGAGGTGCCCTAGAAATTCAGGTTAAAGACACAGCCTGGGGGAGTTGGGAGGCTCCTGGCATACAGCCAATGCCCAAAGGACTGATTACCCAGAGCACTCTTCATGGATTAAAGGAGGTGGAGAAAGCAATTTTTA